GGAATTGCACACACACACACACACACACACACACACACACACACACACACAGCAGCAGCAGCATCATAATCACCATCATAATCATCATCACAAAGAACAAGAAAATAACAGAAATTGACAGTCATTGTTCACTGATACCTCTCAGTAACAATGGACTTAATTCTCCAATAAGAACACACATATTAACAGAATGGATCAAGGACATTGAAACATGCAATCCAATAATTTTGATAGCAACCAAAGTCTCCTCTTGTTTGAGTAATATACATACACACAATACACAAGGCAGCTGGAGACCTCTTCCAAAATATTCTATGGGCATATACCCACGTGAAAAAATTGTAACTAACAACCCGCTACCAACCAGAAGTAGTAGACTGAATAATCAGTACTGAACTGTAGAGTAGTTTCTCATCCCCTTAAAGACCTCCAAACATGGACAGGTTCTAGATAGTCTTTCTCTGGTTATGTCTGGTTATGTTATTTTGATAGCCTGAATCAGTTTGGATAACTGTCATCAGCCACATTTCTGGGTTAACTTTGACATTGATTCTAGTTGTATCTTGTTTAGAAGTTCCAGAGTAGGGGAATAAAGATTAGAAATGTTAGGTAAGAGTAATAGAGATAAGAAAGAAGCACAGATGTATCTAAATGGGAAGGAAAATAAGACAAGATTGCCAGAGTAAATTGGGAGTATGGGGGGTCATGGGAGAGGTAGAGGGGGAAAGGAGGAAAGAAGAGAAGCAGAGAAAGAAAGAAACACTGAGACACAGGAGAGTACCAGGAGGGCAACACAGTGGATACTGAATACTGAATTCTGAGTAGTGAGTTCACCCACATTTATTTTTTCATACACTTTTTTATCCCAATAAAAAAAATGGGGGAAGAAGACAAAAGACACAAAGAAAAAACAGAACAGTGACTTGTTCTAATACTTGAGACATCAAACCATTAATTCCTGAGCAAAGCATTTGATGTTTGGAGCAGTGAACATAGCTTATACCAAGTATCCTGCAATCAGACACTACCTAAGTAAAACCTCTATTTCAAACAAAGGACTACTTGTATGCTTGGGTTTTATGACCTTTTGTCAGAGTTGAGCAGATCTACCTCTATGATCCATCATAATGTCCAAAATACCAAATAACAATACCTGAGGTCAGGATATGTTGTATCGATACCTCTGGTCAACAACTTCGAAAGAGCAAAAAGAAAATCAAACTCTATGGCCTCCAGACAAGGTAGAATAGACTCACATTTTTGGTGTTTCTAGAGATAATAAGGGGATCTGTGTACAGGAATAAATAAATGTTATTTTTTTCCTCTCTGATAATATGGTCACTGAGATTCATATACTGTTTGTACATCTGTTTTGGGTGATAATCCTTGCTTTTGAAATCAAACTACCTGTGTTTAACTACAGGAAAGGGACACTATTGCTGCTCTAAAGGGATTAAAAAATTTTCCATTTCAAATATTTTGTCCTTCCAAAGTATCTTGACTAGGCAGTAGAACATTTGATGAAAGCTTTGCTGGTGAATTAGAAACATCAAATCATGAGGATAAAAATGTATTCAGATATTAATTTTCAAGGAACAGTCTTAGCTTTATTAATTGTAGAAATGTGATCCTGTACATAGAGACAAAACTGAATTTTCATCCTTCACCTAGGGTCTAAATATCTGGAGTAAATGAAAGAGACACAGAGTATAAAAAAAGAACATAAGAAGTAAGAAAAACATATGCTCCATAAATAGATGACAAAGGGGAGCTGAATATGTTCATTTCTATAGGCTAACATGGAGTTTGAAAAACTGAAAAAGAGACAAGACTAATATATAAAAATAAGGAGTGAATTTCAGTAGATAATATCCCTGAATTGGCTGTGATGCTGAATAACTTTGTGTAACTGAGGCATGTTGAATCAGGATGAACTTTGTCTCATCTTTATTTCAGTTTCTCCTGATTGCTGAGAGGTTCTCACATACAGTTATTCTGTTGTAAAAACAAAGATAATGCTGTGTTAATTTACTCTCCTGGAAATGGGTGTTACTTGAGAAAATACTAGTGATCCAGACCCCTCTGTTCCAAATGCTTATCATTTGTTCTCCAACATATCACACATATATACTGTGTTGTGTTCCTCCTCAAACAAAGTTCACATTTGTCAGCAGGATCATCCCATGCAAAGATATTTTGTTAGTGTCTATGTCACTTTAGAAGGATAATTTGTACATAGAAAACAGAAATGAACTACAATATACTCAAGCACCACCCTGCTAATTTTGGATGTATCATAAGTTCTGATTTGCTGTGACTGAATGTGTCTGGAACTCATTGATGCTCATTGGAAAGCCTCATAAATGAGGAGCTGTGGAGACTCAAAATAACCACTCAGAAACTGTGCTAATTAAATCACTGCTTAGCTTATTAGCTCTGGCTCTTATTGGCTAACTCTTGTATCTAGCAAATTTAACCCATTTCTGCTAATCTGTGTATTGCCACATGGCTGTGGCTTACCATCAAGGTTGTAGCTCATCTGTTCCTGGTGGCAGCTACTTGGCATCCTTTACCCTACCTTCTTTTACCAGCATTCAGTTTAGTTTCCCTGCTTAGCTCTATTCTACCCTACCACAGACCAATGCAGTTACCTTAATCATTAACCAATAAAAGCAACAAACATATAGAAGGAATTCCCACACAAATTTTATACCTCAGAATACAAATAAGACCAAAATTTCTGCTGTTGCTACTTGTATCTAAACCAATATCACAAGGTACAACCTGTAGAAAAAAAAATGAGTAATGAAAGAAATTAAATAAAATATTTGCTAGTAGATCAGTATACAAATTCATAAAAAAGAATATCAAGATAAAATTCAGGAAAAATTACAATAAAATCTCCATATACACCAAGGATAGCAGAATTGTCCTTATCAATTAAAGATTATGCAAGTGAATACACAATATACCTGTGTTCATAGAATAAACCACTTTAAAAATAATTTTATATGTAGGACTCTTTCATCTGCATGTTTGTGAGAACATTATGTGCATAGCTGATGCCCTCCAAAGCCAGAGAATGACGATGAATCCCTTGGAACTGAAGTTAAATATAGTTGTAGTTGACTATGTAGGTTCTTAGAATCAAGCCCAAGTCCTCTTCATGGGCATTAGGTGCTCTAAACCACTGGGCATTCTCTTCAGTTACATGAACCCCTTTTAAATGTATATTTTCTTCAATTGGCACATGAGTTCAATGTAATGTAACTAATATTCTTGAAGGAGTTTAAGTTTGATTAACTCAGTCTACAGTTAATGTAGAAAACTGACAGCACAAATAAGAATGACTGAAGCCTATAAAACTGGTATTATATCTTTCAACTTAATTTCTTTTGTATAAAACTACAATTAAGTCTGTGTGTACTGTAGGCATAGAGATAGGGTGACATGGATGGGATATCATAAAGAAACAGGAAATAGGTCTTAACCACACAATTAAAAAAAAGTATATAGATTATAGCTCTTTTGTTGTTTTTTTTCTTCACTTTTCAAGACAGGGTTTCTATTTATAGCCTCGGCTATCCTGGAACTCTCTCAGTAGATCAGTCTGGTCTTGAACTCAGAGAATCTCTGCCTCTCTTTAATTCCAAGTGCTAAGATTAAAGTCATGTATCACTATCACCTGGCTTTGTGATGTTTTTAAAACCTTGCTCTGGAATATCAATGTTTTATTAATATCACTTATGGGTACATGTTTAGCACAAACCTTTACAAACTGTATGGTGTCACACAGACAAACCTATATTCAACTTCATGCAGTGGATTTAAAAGAAATGTAAGTATGGTTCGTATTAATTGATTTTTGCAAGCAGCTTAAGGACATAGAATCCAGAGGAATTCTCTATGAATTTCATGCAGACAGCTGAGAGCATCAACACCAACTGCTGTAATTTCAAGATGAAGCAGAGGACCATGATTAAACAATCTTCTCTCTCTCTAAAACTTGTGCTCTAATCTTTGTGAGAAAACAAGGAATCATTTATACTGTTAGCTTCTCTTACTAATATTTCTCTGCTCTTTAAATCCTAGCACTTAGGAACTAATTTTCTGTATTTAAATAATGTGTTCTGGAATGTTCAGAGCAGTTTCCACTATTGTATAAGTGTTCACAATGGGGATACAACTCAGACTCCTCACAGGAAATGTCTGTGTTCTCTGTTAAGAAAGAAAGGGCACTGGAACTCTGTAGTGCTGGAGGAGTGTAGAGGGCTGGTTTTGAACTGCATAGAAACTCTGTTCAAGGGAGACTTGAGGTAGCATTCTTGCTGATAGACTTGGCAAACCAAGTTGGGAGGAAGCAAACCTCTCCCATCAATAGAGTGCCTTGCCAATGGTCAGTCCTTGAAAACACAGATGTGCATTGTAGTTCAAAGGTCCTGATTAGGTTGTGGTTTGTCTTCTGATGAGGTGTTTTTACGTATTATATTACAACAAGAATTATTCCCTTAACCCCGAGGCTTTTGTTTAGATTAGCTAGGGCCAAAGCCCTTGAAATTAGTTGCAACCAAGTGACTAGTCTATGAAACTATTCATGTATTATGGGAACCTAGTTTGAATTGTGATTTGAGTATTATAAAAAAGAACACTGGCTTTGCAATAAAGTATGCAGTTGTAGCTCCTACTCTGCATCCCCTGTGTCCTGATTTCTGTGGCACTACCCAGGGTCATCCATAACCGAGGTTGTGGGGAAGGGTCCCCAACATAGAGGCAAAGAAGGAATATACTTAGGGTACAGAAAGAACAATTAGGCATCATCTACCAAAACAAAGGATTCCCTGTGAGTTTTGCTAAAAGTCCTGTGACAACTGATAAACAGTTTCAGTAAATGATTCATGAGAAGGAGCAGCTGGGGCATCCCAGTCTCTCACTTCTGCTTCGATGGGGATTTATGTTATAACTTGTATCACTGTTGGAGGATAGTTATCATACTGTAGACATTAATAATTTGCAACATCTTCAGACTCCAGGCTGCTGATGGTGAGAGAATAATCTGTCCCAGACCCACTGCCACTGAACCTTGATGGGACCCCATCTTCCAAGTTGGATGCCTGATAGATCAGGAGCTTAGGAGCTTGCCCTGGTTTCTGCTGGAACCATTGTAAATATCTGCTAATATCCTGACTTGTTCTGCAAGTGATGGTGACTCTGTCTCCTAGAGATGCTGACAGGGAGGATGGAGACTGTGTCACCTGGATGTCACCTCTGGAACCTAGGAGTGGAGACATCGTAAATTCCCACATAGTTAAGCATGATAAAAAGAGGACCTCTCCCAAATTCCAGTAAATAATAATCACTATATAAGAATGAAACTACTATTTTTGTCCCTTTTTACCTGAAAGGCAGAGAAATAGGAACCAAACGAGCTGAGCATGGTCCCTCATGTCCATTCTGAGTCCTGACTGCACTTGCTGCATAGCGTTAGGGTGGTATATGAAGAAGTCTTCAAGACTTGGGAGTGAGTGAATGCAAATCACTTGAAACCAGCTAGTTCTGGGTGCAACTGCAAGGCTTCCTTATCTCAGTAAGTAAAGACAAGCAGAGGGTCAGTAAATGTCCAAGCTCAGACCAAATACATGCCTCTAAAGTTTATAAATTTTCAAGTTTTATGACATTTCTAATATTTATGAGTTCTAATTTGAATCATAAGATTGAAAGATATACTGGAGTAATATAGATAAGTATTTCACTGTAATAGTTATGCCACATAAAAAGGAAAATTAAATCTTTAAATCACTCAAATCATTCTGATTGGTTTGGTTCTTCTAGAGACGTGTCTGTGAGTTTTGGAGTCATCATTCCTATATTTTTAAATTATAATTTACTACAGCAATTTTAATGTATTAAAAATAAAGCTTTATTGCTTTACATATGCTTATTTGGGTAAAAATAGAGTAATTATCCAGTAAGTACACATATAACACATCGATCATAAAGGTGTGTATAACTTGGGGTCCTGATTCCATATGAAGATGGAGGTACTTTCAGACAAACAGACTAAATCAGTTGCACATTTTTCTTTCATATTTTCTCTTTTCTAACATTTGCTACTATTCCTGCAATTTCTTCCATTATTGGTTCACTAGTGATGTCAGACTTGAATACAATAACAGAAAACTATAACACATGGTTCTATTGTATATTACAAATAATATTTTCACCTTTCACTTTGCAGTAACTAAAGACATTATACTGATTTAGTTAGAAACCTCACCCCTTTCATGTGTGTTTCAGTCTGCAAACACAGATGCAGAAATGTTGGTATATTCTTATAACACATATATTTCAGTGCCACACATCTCAAACCTGTGTGCCTTGATCACCCATACTAATTTGTCGTCAAGAGAGGCAATATCTATTCAATATTCAGGACCCTTGTCCTGGAGCCTGAGAATCCCAGGGTGTTTTTAAAAAAATATCTGTGAAAGGATAGACAGTGCTGCACTCTGAGCCTGACTTTGCTATTGTTACAGTATCTGGACTTGAGTGATGGGTATGAACAAACACACTGAATAAAGCAGCTTCTTCACAGTACATGACACCCTCCAAATTGGTAGTACCACACAGCAGTTTTTGGTGAATTAATAGAAATGCTGGTTTCTCTGCCTCTTCTCTCTCTTTCTGCTGATGTCTACCAACTGTATCTCTCCCTCTATTTGATCATTGAATCTTAGAAGATAGTTCTGACTTCTCACATGAAAGCCAAAGATCTCGAGGAAGTTACACCTAGGGCACTTCAGTGGATAATAAGAAAAGGATAACATTTCTTCTTAACCTAAAACAGCAAGCAAATCATTACCTTACAGGACATCTGGGATCTGAATTCTTATCACACCTCCCTTAATGATATGTGTAGATATGATGGGAATTACAAAAACATTCAACTTTTTTTAAACCACTGGTCCTTAGATTGGATTAAGTAATAAAAGCTTATGTTTCCTAATAAAATGTGTGTCAATGGCACTGTAGTGAGCATAACTTTCTTCTAAAAAGCCCAGAAACATCTCTGGAATCTCTAAATCATACATACTGAATAATACCTGTACACCTTGAGATTTGGGTGGTTTTCACCTCTTTTTCTTAATAAATAGGCCTTTTTTTTTTTTTTTTATTTTTTCATTTTTTCATGACATTTTTTTCATTCTTCCCAAAGGTCAGGTTTTAAGGAGATGATACCATTTATTGGTTGAGGGATAATGAACTTTCCCATAACAATCAAATTTAATTTTCTAAAACTTAGAAGTTGAAAGCTACGTGTCAAAATGACTTTTTTCTTGTGAGTGAGTTATGATTTTGAGACGACAGTTTATGGGTGAAGTCAATATAAGCACATGTGATTTCTAATAGGGAGAGAGACAATTTATGACTCTGTCAACTCTTACAGCTTTGGTATTTTGTAAAAATAAAGTCAAAAGCCACCTGTTGATGGAGGTGGATCTTGTATATTATCTGTTGCTTTCATTGGTTAACTAATAAAGAAATCTGCTTGGCCTGATAGGACAGAAAATTAGGTAGGCGGAGTAGACTGAACAGAATGCTGGGATAAAGAAGATTGAGGCAGTTGCCATGATTCTCCCACCCGACACAGCTGCAGGTTAAGATCTTCCCTGGTAAGCCACCCCATGGGCTACACAGATTATTAGAAGTGGGTTAGATCAATATCTAAGAGCTATCCAATAAGAGGCTGGAACTAATGGGCGAGGCAGTGTTTAAAAGAATACAGTTTCCTTGCAATTATTTCAGGTAAAGCTAGCCGGATAGCGGAACCCAGCCTGCCATTCATCAACAACCTGTGACACTCAAAACATAATTTTATCTGTAAGAATAGATAAAAAAAACTTTGAAAAGAGGGGCAGGTTGTAGTATTAAATGGCTGTAATAATTGAATTCTTACTAATTATAGAAGATAATATTTTTTGTGAATCTAGTCTGTACTAATATAGAGATCTTGCCTCCAAAATGAAGGAAGAGAAAGCTGGCTGTCAATTGAAAAGGTTGAACTTTCCCATGTATAAAAGTACATGTAAGAAAACCCCAAACAAGAACTGAATGAAAGACCATAACCACAAAATGTAAGTATTGATTTCTGTGGAACCATGTAACCACTCAGAGCAAATATTATGTGATATGAACTCAGACAAGTTTGGGAAGGCCTAAATATATGACATTTTCTTCTATGACCAAATAATTTATCTAGAGTTTGCTTCAAATTATGCCTAAAGTTTTCATTAAAAACATTTTATGTTCTTGGCATGTCTTTCTTCTTAAGGAACCTATCATATCCTTGCTTCACTCTCAGAAATCTATCCATTGCCTTCAGAAAATACCTTCAGAGAATTCAAACACAATATACAGTCTGACCTGAAAGACATTACTGTGATGTGGTTCTGTTTCTTCCTTAGGGTCATTGACTGCACTGGTTCATGAGGGTGAAGGGCCCAGAAGCAGTGAAAATGTTTTGGTCCACTATAGATATAATGGAGACAGCTCTCCAGCAGACATACTTCAGTGAATTAGATAAACTTTATAGCAGAGTATAAGAAATGCATAGCCCTGGGTACACTGATGACTAACTCTAATTTGTATTAAGTGACATGAACCTATTGTAAGAATTCTAGTACAAGTTTGAGTTATCATTTGTGTAGCATGAAGGCTTTTATCAGGAATCTGTGCTAAATGTCAAGCTAAATATAAATCAATTATCATTCCTAGAAACAACTTTCAGATGAGCTCAGTTGCCTGGGTCCAGGGACATTCTCCAGATAAATTGAGATAGAGAGTAGGAATCTTTGCTGGGGAGGGAGGGAGTCACAATGTTCCCATGATTTTGGAAAAAGTTTCCAGGCCTTGATATACTGCCAACTCTGACCAGCCAGCAAGGTCTTCCAAAACTGTAAGATCTTGGAGAAGGCATTCATGAGCCCATACTTGATACATTCTTCATTTACAAAACATCAGCACCAAGTGGTCTTAATGCTGTAGTTGTACAAACTTTCTCACTCTATGATAAACAGGAAGCAAGAGAGTGGGTTAATCAGGGACTGCAGAAAATATAGACCATGGAATCATGTCCCGAATGACACAACTTCTGACTTAGTCACCTTCCTTCAGATCCCACAGATTTCAAAAGCATCATCACCTGAGAAATAAGACTCCATTCCTGCCCCTGGGACACACTGCAGACCTGAAGTTTAATTAAATACTTCCATTACATTTGTACTATTTAGGTAGATGAGAATCTGAGTATTAATACTCTGCAGGAGACCAATGTTCTCTTCTCTTTTTTTCTTATTTATTCTTTAAGAATTTCAAACCCTGTCTTCTGCTCAAATTTATTCATATAATCTCAAGTTCTCTGCAAATCATTCCTTCTTTCTCTACCTTGTCCTCTATTTCATCCCTTATCTCTCTCTCT